TAGATAGATAGATAGATAGATAGATAGATAGATAGATAGATAGATAGTAGCGGGATGAAGGAAAAGAGTAGTTCCCTGACCGGGAATCGAACCCGGGCCGCGGCGGTGAGAGCGCCGAATCCTAACCACTAGACCACCAGGGAGAGCTGAAGCGCCATTTTAAAATGTTCATTTTCAAAGATCACTCACGCAATCGACACAATAATGCAACACTTCCACGAGGTGGCGAACGTATCTAAACTATTTACGCTCACTTCCATTGTCTGTTGGTGTACGAGCTCAGAAGCAGCTCCAATTGACGTCTCGTACGAGCAAACATCTGGACATAAGGGGTTAAACGGAATGGTTAGCAGGTATTACGTCTGAAGTTCAAGTTTCTCTTCAGTCTTTGTGGGCTCGCGTGCTCACCGCCTCGACTGGTTGTTCAAGAAAAAACCGGGACGCTTCGAAACCCAGGAAGAGCATACCCAGGTACGTGGTGCGTTTAAGTTATATGCAACTAAATACTGTTCGTTTTTATTCCCTGTGTATCCCCTCCTGTCGTGTAGACTCACCATGTCGGCCAAAGACTCAATGAGGCGCCACAAAACTGCACTTCAGGTTACTCTATCTGCGGACCGCAGGCTCATCCTGGACAAGGTTTACGCGAGAAAATTGATAACTCCTCGCGAGTACAACAATCTTAAAAGCATCAACAAGGAGAACGACGAGGGACACGTTATAGAGCTCGTGGATAAGCTGATGAACAAAGGAGAAGGGGCCTGCCGGACCTTCCTGGATCTCCTGCAAACCGATGAGGACGTAAGGTCAACCTTCCCAGACCTGCAAAGCATACAGCTGAATGATGGTTTACCACAGCCGGTCCAAGCCTCTTCGCCATTCAGTGGTAGTTTAACACACGAAACCACATAAAAACATTTCGTTTTTAAATGTCATTGTGCCACGTTTGAATTTTGGTTTCACTTTCTCATAGGTGGTCTGTATGAGGACAACAAAAGGCCTAGGATGGTGAGTACTGAGTACTGAGAGAGCCCGTTTAGGCGTCATTTCTTTTCATTTGTACATGTTTTATTGGCTTCAGCTCATGGCTAAAGCCTTCCCTCACAGTCGAGACATAGTTATTAGTCTCTGGGAACAGAAAAGTGACGCTTTGTTAACATGTAATTACTCATAATATCAATGGACTCAGAGATGTTTGCATCAGTTGGTAATAAGTTTCCTCTATTTTAAGGATGATGCTTATCCGCTAAACAGCCGGCCTGTGGGCCTCTGTTTGATCATAAACAACGTGAATTTCATGGAAAGCCCTATGAGAAAGGGGTCGGACAAAGACGCTGGTATGTTTCAGACACTCTCTCACACCTTCACGGTGCCGGTTGCCGGTTGAAGCTGAATCCTCTCTGCTTTGAATGAAACTCCCCACAGAAAGCCTGGCGCTGGTGTTCAGCTGGCTGGGCTTCAGAGTGCTTATGTGTAAAGACCAAACCAAGGACCAGATGGAAGAAACTCTGGCCGGCTTCGCCTCCCTGACTGATATCCTGCAGCCGCATGGGCAGAGCCTTCAGGAGTGGTCAGGTGGCACGTTTACTGCTCCTCAGCAGCTCCTGGAGCACGGCGACGCCTTCATCTGCTGCGTTCTGAGTCACGGGAGAAAGGGGGTTGTCCTGGGGGTTGACAATGATCCGCTGGAGATCAAACAAATCACAAGAACTTTCACACGGTCTGACCAGTCGTGCCTTACTGGCAAACCCAAAGTGTTCCTGATACAGGCCTGCCAAGGAGGTGAGCTACAGCGGGGGGTGTTGCTGGACAATCTGGAGCCGGACGACTCTGGTTCACAGTCCAACCCAGTGGAAGGAGATGTTCTGGTTGCCATAGCCACAGTTGAAGATTATGTGTCGTTTAGACACCGAACAAATGGCAGCTGGTTTGTCCAATCTGTGTGTCAGCAGCTGAAGGAGCGTTGCCCCAGGTAAGGAAAAAAAAACTTCAAATAAAAAAATAATAATTAAGCATTCATAATATTTACAATTTGTACAGATAATAGTTTTCTTCACTTACAATTTATTTATTTCTAGCAGCCTTTAAATGACAGACTTAAGTAAAAAAAAAAAAATGTTTAGTGTCTTTGCTGACCCACTTGAATTTATTTAGAAGTGATTAACAAATTTTAAACCAGCATCACAGTCATTTGGGATGGGGCGAGTTTACCATGGTGTTACATCAGCCTTGAGTGCAAATGATTGTAATCATACTTTTTGGAATTCTTACATGTAATTGACTTTAGAGAATTAAGACTCTTACTCATCCTTACTTAAAATAAACTCTGAATGTTTAGGGGATTTATACCAAATCCTGACACCCTAACATGGTAATATTTTGTCAATGATAAGTACCATAGATTCCAAAATAGTTGGTATTTTAAACGTTGGGCCTTAAAGACAATAAAATTGTCTTTTTAAACTTAAAGTTTAAATTATTATTGCATTTTGAATAATTACCTATCATTTGTTGATATCTGATTGTCTGATCAGTGCCCTCTGGGGTGAGCTGTTAGTTAATCTAATCCTTAGACGTCTGATGCGTGTTTTTATCCACTGTGAAAAATAATTTTAGGGGTGAGGACATCATTTCCATTCTCCACCACGTGAATAATGACGTTGGGCAGAAAGAGGCATGCAGAGTACCTGGTGAGGCCAAGCAGATGCCTGAAGTGAGGTTCACCTTGAGGAAGAAACTGGTGCTGCTGCCCCATCAGGAGTCCAACTAAGATCTCTACAACTTTGACAAGCACCCTAAACCTTATTTCTCAAGAAGGGGAATGGTTTCTTTAGATAACTTTTGTGTCATTATTTTTTAAAGTTTGTATTGTGTCAACATTGACTTTTACCAAGTATGTTTATAATGTTATAATAATTGTAATTCTCTAAAAAGCAAATGGTATTTTTGTACCTTTATGGAAAGAATATTTATTACTGCTGGAACTCTGGGATATAAAAACGGTTTTGTCAAAAATTTGGTTCTCGGTCCAGTTTTTTGTTTGCTTGTTTGTTTTGTCTGACATCCGGGAAAATGATGCCCCGTCTCGTTCTGCTTCGTGGGTTTTTTTCTCCGGTGTTCGGGTGGTCTCGTCTTCTTCTCTGATTGATGACGCGCTGACGTACCGCCCCAGCGTCGTTACCATGGCAGCGAGAATTCGTTTTCTTTTTTTTTTACTGTTCACGCACGAAAAGACAACAGAAGGTATAACATAAGTCTATGGTCCCGCATAAAAGACCAACAGTGACTTAGCTCTTGTCAAAAGTCCGACTTGTTTTACTGGCGGGAAAAGCCGTCCTAACTTAAGTCACCGTCAGTAATGGACGGTGCCATGTTGGTGGCTGAAGAACCCAAAAGTGCAGCGGAGCTGAGAGCCTCCGACCAAGCTGTCTCATACCTGTCCGGCATTGGTGAGTTTGTGTTTTAAAGTGATTACGTCGTATATTTAATCGCTTCATTTAAGAACAAATACATCAGAGCAGCAAATGCGGAGGGGAAAAACGCTTTTAAAATAACTTCAGGAGTCCGTTGTGTTCTGTAACAGAGCCCTCGGAGCTGCAGAGGTGTGTGTTTCCGGAGTCTCTGGTGATGGTGTCGGAGGACAGCAGAGATTTGGGGACATTCAAAGTGGAAGTGGAGTTTTCCCGTCGCCTCGAGCAGCCTTGCATGCTGCTACACGCTCAAAGCCACGGAGCAGCTGATGGTCACCCCTGTGGGACGACGGTGACAGGTAAAGGCCAGCAGAGGCCCCGGACAGGGAGTTCTCCACTGGTTCCCATTGGCATTTCTCCCTTTTTTGTCACCCCTCTCTTTTGCCACGTTTGACTCTGCAAGCCTTCATAAGTGTTGACCTGGAGGTGCTTGAGGAGGATTGCTTCGAGTATGCAAAGGCTAGTTTATTTATAATTACTTTGCTTCTCTTATAAACTCATAAATGAAAAACCCACCAGCCTGACATACTCACCCAAATGTTTTTTCACCTTTAGCTTGAAGACCACCGTGTGGAAAAGAGGAGCCACATGGTGCAGAGTGATGGGAGGATGCTGATTGATAAAGTCACCACTGTAGGAGAGGTCAGACCACACCTGCTCAGGACAGTAGCGATGAAAATACCAATCCGATGCTACGCTTTGGTCACGATAAGCTCAATGTTTCACTAGAGATTTTCTCTCCTGAAGCCACACCTCGTTTTGTTGTATGTGAATGTATGTACAGGAGGTGACAAAAGAAAGTGCCTCCTATGCCATGTCTGACCTCAGAGGGCTGGTCACTGAAGGCTCCAGCCTGCTGCTGATGCGTCTGCTCGCTCTGAGGAAGGAGGTCCCCGATCGCATGGCCTTTATCTCCTTGGATCAGAGTTTGCAAATCACCCCCACCACTTTTGTGAGTGATCACAGCTGTTTACGTCTCCCTGATCTGTAACCCGACTGCTTCGGATTGTAAACCGCTCGACGTTTTGGCTGGGTGTCAGAGCGAGCTGGGCAGGAAGCAGATGGAAATCGGCGACGAGGTCCTGGAGGTGTTTGGGATACAGAAGATGGTTCACTCTGTGGAGGGGAGCTCCCCTACCTGGCAGTGCTTCTTCCTGCAAGATGGGTGAGCTCTATGACTACAGCTTTAAAGAATCCCCTGATTCCACCCGTTACTAAATACTTTGCTATTTTTCCAGTGTTCTTAACTCCATTCTAACGCTGGCAACAACTTTTGTTATTTGATTATAGAATGGAAATACATTAGAATTTTGTAATTAAAGCTGTTCAGTTGTAATAAGGTGCATGTCAAAGGTGGGTTTTAAGGTTTTCTTTTATTTGTTATGATAGAAACCGCTGTTATTTTGGCTCTGAATAGTCTGTAAGTTGGTATTTTATTTCCTCCTTTTATTGTATATGTAAAGCTGCAAACATGTAGGCTGTTCAAAGGTTAAAAAAAGATTGGTTTTACAGACAGCATTTCTATTGGTTGTAAATCACCTGACATAAACGTACAAACTGAAAGCTACCATCAGGGAGGTAAACAAGGATCAGCACCTGATGAGTCACTGCTGGTGACTGGAGTCATCTCAAGCTTTATAGCGTCAGCCACCGTCTGTAAACTTTATTTCTATTCCTGCCAATGAGCATCACCTCTGCTTTAACAGTGGTGTGGTGGTTTGCCCCGTCACCTCGCACAGTTGTGTTCCCATTTTGAATCCAAGATGGAGGGATTCTGCTTGGAGTTAGTTTGTTCTTCCTGTGTATGCATGAATGCTCTCCGGTCACTCCTGAGTCCTCCCACAGTCCAGAAACACGCATGTTAGGTTAGTTGGTTATTCATATCTGGGTCAAAATGTTTCCATATCACTCAAACTTAATCTGCCCTACAAGTGCGTGCATCACACTGACGTTCGATAAATTACACGAAGCTAAATTCAATTCTTGGGATTTTAATTTGCTGACCGGTTCATTTTTCTCTATTCAGCCACTTGGCCAGCAGGATGCAGGTGGGATCCCCCGTCACCACGAAGCTTCTGCAGCTGCCATCAAAGTCACAGAAAGGTTTTCATTTCTACACGTGTGCACGTAGGAAACAGGCCTTTTCATACTTAGAAAGAGTCACTAACAGGGTTTGTGTGTGAATGTGTGTGGTTTTTCACAAGGTTTTGAAAAAATCCCACTTGTGTGGGAGGAGGACATGCAGATGCACTCTAACTTCCTGGACAGAAAGGTATCCATCCATGCTCTCATATCAGAATGAATTAGCTTATCATTAAGCTTTTATGTAACTAGAATAATATTTAGCTAAGAGCTAAGTGCAAACTATTTTATCTTTCACTAAGCTCATGAATGTGTACTTAAGCCTTTTTCGTGGCAGGCGGAGCTGAAGGCGGACCACACTTCGTACCTGAGACAGCACCCTGAAATTCGAGCCCTCATATCTGACTTCTTGCAGTTCTTGCTGCTGAGGAAACCAAACGATGTTTTCCAGTTTGCCAAAGAGTATTTTATCCCCTTTTCTTCCACCCATCCTCCAGATCAAACCTGATACTCCAGACTCCAGCCCCCGTATAAAGGAAACATGGGGCTTTGTGATCGGTTCAATAACTTAATAGAGTTTAATAAAGTTTGGTGTACCAATGGCATTTGACTGCTAAGCAAAGTGACTCGTGTATAAAGCTTATTCCAACCGTAGGAGTTTCCCTATCGGTTTCCGGGAAAAGGCGGAGTGGCTGTTTTGAAAAAAAAAGTGCATGGTATTTGGAAATAAATAAATAACCCAAATATGTGTCCGTTTAATATTGCTCACCTTAATGTTAGAAAATTAGTAATACTTTTTGAGCAGTTTAAAGAAATTTAAATTGCCCCCATCTTTAAAAAAAAAAAAGTTTATTTGAGACGCGACAGGATTCGTCATTTCCGGTGGGATGACGTCATTACGATGAAAGTGAAACAACTTGGAAAACTCGAAGGCAAACGATATTAAAGGTTCAAGCACAGTGTTGTACACCAAGGTGACTGGAACGAGTGACGACGAAAACTTATTTTTTTCTTTGACGCTTTGATCAAATCAAGGAGCGAATCGACAACCGTGAGTCGGAATGTATTTATTTATTAATTTTAGCTATTTCTATGGAATGTATGTCCTCTCTGGAACATTACATCGTTATGTAATGCTGGACGAAGATAGGGCGTATTTGTTTTTTCTCAATCCTAAAAAGTTCGAGTAATAGGTTTTAATGGGAAATTTTGCTTTTTTCGTTATGTTTTTTTTCAGCCTGGTGGAAGAAAGTGGTCCTGTTTGTTTTTAACGAACAGTAGGCTAGTTTTAAAAAATGGGGAGAAATAGGAAAAGGTGTTTTTTCCCTGTACATGAAAAGAAGCAACATAAAAACAAAACACAACAAGTGTGTGAAAAACTTAAATAACTTCGTGTTAAGAGTGTAAACTCTTAAACCTTCCTGTTGGTTGCATTTCACACACCAGTGGGGTTTATGAGAAACTTGATCACAATCAAACCAGTCTATGAGAAAAGACTGAGAAAGCTACTGAACTCGTAATGTTTCCCTGTTAATAACTGTATTCCAGTTATAAATACCAGACACCTTTATCTTGCTTCCTTGTAGACCTATAAACGTTTTCTGTTTCTGTTGTACTAGGTGGTTGTCTCTTTTCCTCTTCCTTCCTGTTTGTCGACTCTGTCCCCGGTGGCGTGGGCTGAGGCTCAGACCTGTGCACGTCCTGACCGGCAGGCGATGGACAGACGGACGCTGTCCCGCATTGACGAGGAGCTGGACTCCTCTGAGGTGGCGGAGCTCTGCTTCTTGTGTAGTGATGTCGTTAACAGGAGGCGCCTGGAGGGGGTGAGAGCCTCTTGTTTAATGTCTTTATAGAATACAATATGTCACAAGAAAAAGTATACACTCTGTATACTATTCTTACATCCACTGATACTTTTTAAAGTCTCTCCCCTTGAGGTTGGGCTGTTTTTTTTTGTCCTCATCCAGATTACGGACGGAAAGACACTCTTCATGAGACTTGAGGAGAAAGGCCTTTTGGAGAACAGCTCGTTCCTCTGTCAGCTGCTCCAGATCATCCATCGAGCTGATCTCCTCAACCAGCTGCAGAATGACTACAGACAGCAAGAGGAAACGGATGCCAACCCCATCCTGTCTGCGTACAGGTAAAGGGATTGAGAAGGATGTTTTAACTGTACATGTAATGGGACGGCCGTCCTGCTTAGCTGCTGTCACTTTGTTTTCCAAAGTTAGTTGATTGTCCTTCTCTCTTTCTCTCTCTGTTGTTCTCGCTGTCAGGGTGATGCTGTATGATATATATAAGGACATGACCGAGGAGAATTTCGAGAAGATTAAGTTTATGCTGAATAGCAAGCTGGGAAGAAGGCAGCTGGAGATGAGCAAAGTGAGAGGGCACCCACACACCTCGTGAGCACTTTGGGGGGGAAAAAATCAACATGACACATCCCAAAATGCATAATACAGCTTTACTTTTTGCTTTTGAGCAACATACTCCCCTAAATCTGCTTTCTCACAGACACATAATGAAGTGATTATACTTGTGACAGTGATTATCTCCATCTGGTATAAATCATAAACCATATTAAACCCTCTGGGGGCTGAATTCAGTCACCTAAATCCAGCTAATAAGTTTGGGCAGTCATGTTTTTGCTACTTTAAGGCAGAAGCCTGCCTCTCTAAGCGGGGAGGTTTTCAATTTCTGTACTCAGTTAAAAAAAAAAAAATCCTTTTCATCTTCTTTCTACTGATTGCAGACCGTTTTGGACGTGTTTGTCGAAATGGAAAAGACGGGATTAATGTCACAAAGAGATGTCACCGAGCTCCACGCGCTGCTGCAAGACCTGGATGTGCAGCTGGCAGGGAGAGTGGAGAGGTACACACAAGGTACAAGGCCACTTCTTTACTGGAGGCGATATGCATTCTTTCTGTAAATAAATAGATGGATAAATAAATATTATGATTAATCATCATTCTTTGCACTTTGCAGCGTTACCTCCGCAAATCCAGCACATTCCATCAGGCTCCTTCAGCATAGATCAACAGGTGTGTGTGCGTGTGTGTGTGTGTGTGTGCGTGTGTGTGTGAGAGAGATCAGGTGATTTGGTGGCAAAGCAGCTGACCGCCATGATGCTTTTCTTCCAACAGAGACCTAACGTCGCTTCTCTTGCACCACTATCCTCTCTGTCCATACAGGATAATCAGTCCATCTACGATCTCCCCGTTTCAGGTACTCTTTCCTTTATCTAACGGATCCATTTTTGTTTGCGCCAATAAAAAAAAAAACCTAATCTTTGGGGGACTCTTTGGTCACAGCTTCAGAATCCCTGCTCCCCTCCTCGGGTGAAGAAAGGAGCATTTGCACTGACGCACTACCCAAAGTTGAGTCGTCCTCCCTTTCTGATGAGGTAACCCCCCCCCCACTGCTGCTCACTCCGGCCTTTGAGCATGATTTGACTTTGGGATTTTGCCCCTCAGGGGGATTACTACTCTTTGAGCCATATGCCCCGAGGCTTGTGTGTGATCATCAACAATGAGGTCTTCCCGGACACCAATCTGAGAAAGCGCCAAGGAACTCAGGAGGACGAGAGTTTGTGCTGTTTAGTTATTTCGTTTTTGGAGGTCGGCGCATTCAGGAGCGATGTTTGACAGCTGATACTGTTTGTCTTTTTTTTTTCTGTGTTACACAGAGGCTCTGCATTCAGTGTTTGAGAGATTAGGCTTTGAGGTGGTGACACACAGAGACCTGACAGCAGAAAGGATTCGCGTTGAAATGGCCAAACTTGGCAAGAGGAATTTTTCAAGCGACGATGCCTTGGTGAGTTCTTTTGTCTCACGTTGACTAAACACCTGCTCCACTAGCTGCCACTGATAAAAGCTGTCAGTTTTCTTGACTTATATTGTAGCTTTGCAGTCCTTTCCCAGTGAGGTTAACGTGAAGGTTATTCTTAGGGATGTCCCGATCCAGCTTTTTTTACTTCCGATCCAATACCGGCCGATCAGAGCATGTATTAAAGTTTAAAGTTATTTAGCCTACTTACTTAGTTGTCAGACTCATGTTGAAAAGGTATTTACTCTTATGACAACTAGCCATCTGAATTAGGTGAGTTTGAATAATACACAATGCTTGGTAAAGAGACACTGACCTGTTTATTCAGGGATAAACACAAAATAGACAAAATGATAAATAACAAATGGAAATGGCATCATTGAACAGTAAAAAGTGCAAATATATTGTAAACTGTATTAAAAAGGCAAAACACACAAACAACCTGAATAGAAAATAGTCTATTAAACTCAGCATCAGTAATGGAATATTTTATTATTATGGATCAGACTTTTTAAAAACTGGATCGGCATTTTCTCCTGCCGGCCAAAATGCTTTATTTTTGCAAATATCTGCGGCCGATCCGATCCAAATATCGGACCGTGACAAGCCTAGTTCGGATGTTTTCCATACAAAGGCAGGTTTAGTTCCGGTGATGGTTGGGATTGTAAAACACAAGCTCAGCTGAGACTCGCATTACGACACACGGCGGCCTCTGTTCTCTCTGAAAGGTCATCGCCGTGCTGTCCCACGGAGACATGGGCTGCATCTTCGGCAGTGATGAGAAGAAGGTGCCGCTGCAGGACCTGACGGGCCCCTTTAAAACCGGCAGAGCCATCACTCTGGCTAGGAAGCCCAAACTCTTCTTCATCCAAGCGTGCCAGGGCAGCGAGTACCAGAAAGGATCCGTGCTGCGCCACCCGGCCAACAAGCTGGACAGCGAGGAAAACC